ATTGTCACCACCAAGCACACCTCCACTACAATCTTAATCTTAATCTCTGATCACACATCAGCAGTGGCGACTCTAGGATATATTTTCTGAGCTTCCCAAATGAGATTTTTTAAAGAATAGGAACCTATGGATGGCCAGAAATGACACTTTCAGACTGTGACGGACATCTGTTGGCTTGGTGTGGACTATTTTTATATTTCTTTTTAGTTCAACTGCCCTATGTGCTCTGTCAGATGGGGGGAGGGGCTTGACCAGTCCAGTGGGGGGGCTTAGGCTCCTGCTTCCCCCTCCCACACTGACTATCAGGTGTGACAAATAAATGTGATATGTCCATATTTGGGTGTAATATGACATAATCATGCACATCACACAAATTTGTCACAAAAAAATTGACAGTGTGGACACAGCTTTAAGCTCTGTTCACACTGTCAGGTTATATGTGACAAATTTTAAGAAGAAAATTCCTGAATTTTTGTATTAAAATGAATTTAAATGATTGGAAATGATACTTTCTTTTATCTGTGACTTGATGTATTATTAAATGATCTTATTAATTTAAATAAATGTTGATATTATCAGTGTGACTAAAGCAATACAGTATTAGACATCTAACCTTGTATTAGACATCTAACCTTGTTACCTGATAAAACAGATCCAGTCATGTCATCTCGCTTGATATAAATATCAATATCATCTGGTATATTTGGAAGACTCCATTTATGAATAGGTGTAAATGGCTGAAAAAGCTAAAAGATATTTATTTATCCCATTAATTGAGAAAATTAATGGGGTAACTGGCGACTATGTGCTATCTATAGTGTATGCATTCGAAAAGTCTGTAGATTTACGTACATAAACTGATATCCAATTTTAAATTTTGAGAAATATTTTGAAAATATTATTTTGATCTTAACAATTGAATTTGTTCCACAGGAACTGAATGAGTTTGAACTGGTCATCTGGCAAACCTACTGTATTCCCATATTTTTAATAAGCATTTCCTCGTAATAGAGGTTGGCTGTAGAGCTAAAAGACATTTTGCAAAAAAGTTTCCCTTTATTAATAATAAGAGTGCCCTAAAGTAGGAGTTCTACTATACAAAAAAATAATCATTACTGCAAGCATCTTACTGTAATTAACCAATCTACCACTGAATCAATAAATCTTATGTAAACTAGATCCGAGAATGCGCAGTTCTAACTACAATTAAGACTTTTAGTTTGACATTATTGGATTTTTAAAATAAGACTTAGATTTTCACATGATTGCTCTTACAAATATCAAATTTTATTTAAATATTTGTAAAATATCTTTCTTTATGACTGACTGGCTCTTCTCTCTTAGTATAGTTTAAACTCACCTGTCAGTCACCATCTTACAAATCTAATATTTGTTTCCTTTTGCTATTAATCAGTATTTTGTCCAAGTGATTTCAATCTCTTGCTCTATGTAGTGATTTCTAGCTTTTGATTAGCTTTTAAAAATTGACTGATTAATACATTAAAAAATAAAATTCTCATATATTAAAGTATTTTGAAAATCAAATATATTTATATACAATTGGATTTTTTCCTACCTTAACTTTCAATAATGGAATCATTTGAAGGTGGCTTGCCCAATCAGGTGGCCTGTAACTGAGTAGTTTATTTGAATTACTCTTTGTGTGTCTGCATCTGCGATTCGTTGTTGCAAGCAGTAGATGTCCTTTTAAATGATTGATCTTCACCTGGCAAATTAGAGCCTTTACTTTGAATGCAATCATCATGACATTAACATAATTGTTAATTACCTGTTAAAAAAAGAATTTATAAACATTTTATTAATTATTACCAAATACATTAACAAAAACACCATCATTCTTCTCACTCCAATGTACCTATTTAAGAATATAGATTTTTTTAAATGATTAAATTTTCCATTTTTATCAAATTAAAAATATTTGAAATTCGAAATTTTGGCTGGGTCCCTAAGAACCCACGGTAGCCACAGTGCAATGCCAGTACCAACATATCTAATTCTCACGCGAGGATTGTTCAAGGAGAAGAGCAATCTGACTTCATTTAAAACCTGACTAAGGGTCTACAGTGCAAGAAGCAGGGACAATGCTCTTGACCAAATGCTTAGCTATAAATATAACTTTAAATGTTTTCATGTTACTACATTAGGATAGGCCTAGACTCAGCGGCGACACCAGAGATTTATCGACAACCGGTCTAACGAAGGTCTGAGACAAACAAGCGCCAATGAAGCCTCGGCCCAGAATAAAACCTCCCACCTTGTGCGATGCACGAAGTGAGTTTTTATGGCTTAGAATAGACCACAATAATATGACATTGGCAGTCAAAATAACGGTAATGTTATGTTATTTTTGTAGAAGCAGTTGGCGCATCGGTTGTGGCTTGGACTCCCAACGTTGAGGTGGGGGGGGGGGGCTAGGCCCTAGAGAGACCAAGCCTTGCAAAAGTACTGTAGTACTTGGATTTGGGAGTTGAATAGCTCAGTGGTTAAGATGCTTGC